CTCCAGTGATTTTGCCTGGAGAATCCCGTGGACAGAGAAGCCTGGCAGGCTATAGTCCATGGGGTCACTAAGAGTCCTGAAACAGCTTAGCACGCATGCACTGGTCAGCACATGGAGTGCATTTGTCCAGAGCTGAAATACTAAAATTTCCTAGCGTCTCTTTTGGTTAGACACAGCCATGAGATTCTGTCCTGATCACTGGCATGTCAGCAGGAGTCTGTCCATATTCTTCTGTTTCCTCTCCATCCTACAGGGATCCTGGATCAAAACTGGGTTACTTGGCCATCAGCTAAGGCTCTTCAAGCAGGAGTCTGAGAACTAGATGGCACTGTGTGGCCACCACCCAGCCTTAAACTACTCACCTAATTTCAAATTACTGCTTGAGATAAATAAGTACTTATTTGGTTAAGCCCCTGTGTCAGAATTGGAGAAATTTGATAATAAAGCCATGGGGAATCATAAGAAGTCCAAAGTTTAGCCAAACACAAGTCTGACAGTATGAACCAACACTGGCTGGGCAAAGATCTGTGCCCGCCAAACATTAGTCTCTTTAGTTTCCTTCAGTTGAAATGGTATGTGTTTGGAAAATGACTCCCATCATATTGGTAAGTAAAAAAGCTGAATTACCGAAAGCCATAGATCGTACAGTTGAATCTAAATTTTGTTAGGAGAAAAAAAAAAAAGCTGTGTGAATGTCCAGAAGCTCAGAGGATTCTGTTAAGCACATTATTCGGAAGGAAAATAAAAATATGTATTTTCATTTTAACAAAGTCATTTTGACAAAACTGCTTCAACATGTCCTGCTGGGTTTCCCACGGGCCAAGGGTATGGTGGATCCAGGCCAAGTGGAAGCCTATGGCAACCAGAGACTGGAAATGAGTGTCTGTTTGAGGTACACTAATTATGTGATTCTTTACATATGGCCTTGAGTGGATATTTTGAGGAAAAATGACTCATCTAGTTTGTGATGTATATCACATGACTATACAGCACAATGTAAGAGAATGGTAGGCTGACCGTGTTTTTATTGCACCAAAGAAAAATATTTCTCAGATTATATTAGCACGGCTGTGGTTTCTAACATTCCTGCTACTTCCTCACTCATTTCCAAAGAAATTTATGCTCTTTCTGGGCAAAAATATGTTTTAAGTCAAGGGAAAGTGAAAGTCGCTCAGTCATGTCCAATTCTTTGCGACCCCCATGGACTGTATAGGCCATGGAATTCTCCAGCTCAGAATACCAGAATACTGGAGTGGGTAGCCATTCCCTTCTCCAGGGGATCTTCCCAAATCAGGGATTGAACCCAGGTCTCCTGCATTGCAGGAGGATTCTTTACCAGCTAAGCCACCAGGGATGCCCAAGAATTCTGGAGTGGGTAGCCTATCCCTTCTCCAGCGGATATTCCCAACTCAGGAATCGAACCGGGGTCTCCTGCACTGCAAGTGGATTCTTAACCAGCTGAGCTACTAGGGAAGCCCCAAAATAGTATTTATTGGTATTATCTACAAATATGGACCATACAGGCTTCAAAGAGACAGGCAGTCCAAGGAGTTGATTCCAATCAGGGGATGGAGGGATCCTGAAGTATTCTCAAAGTGGGAACACCTACCAACACACCTTCCCCTCCAAACACACACACACACAGAATATTCTAGAAAACCCACATAAAGATTAAAATTCAGCATTTCATGTCTAAAGGGTGCATTCATGCATGCTCAGTCGTGTCCAACTCTTTGAGACCCCATGGACTATAGTTCACCAGGTTCCTCTGTCCATGGAATTTCCCGGTCAAGAATATTGGAGTGAGTTGCCATTTCCTACTCCAGGGGATCTTCTTGACCTAAGGATTGAACCCACATCTTGGGAAGCTCCTGCATTGGCAGGTGGATTCTTTATCACTGTACCACCTCATACCTAATAATAATCAAGAAGTATCTCATCAAAATACATTTATAGAGCCATTTGGAAACAACTACATCAAACTGTCCTGCTTGGTCTCCTGTAGATCAAGCCAGAGCAGAGCAGTGGTCCAGCCCAGGTGGGATGTTTCCAAGGAGATCTTGGCAACTGTGAGCAGCTAGAAATGGACATTTACACTGAGTGCAAAGCACTGTACGAGGCACAAAAATGAGTTTCCACAAAACCTCACAAGACAGTATTGAGATCAGCAAATAAAGAATCTTAGAAAACTGTGATAGATAATTATGCAGATAATTGCATAGGAGGTGAAACTGAGTGAATTGAAGCCAGGCTTCCCAGGTGTCTCAGTGGTAACGAATCTGCCTGCCAAGCAGGAGACGCTCAAGACGCAGGTTTGAACCCTGGATCAAGAAGATCCCCTGGTGGAGGAAATGGGCACTCCAGTATTCTTGCCTGGACAATCCTATGGACAGAGAAGCCTGGTGAGCTACAGTCCATGGGGTCGCAAAAGAGTCGGGCATGACCTGGCGACTAAACAGCAGCAGATAATAAAGCCATGGGATATTATAAGATGTACAAATAAGAAGCCACTAGCTGTAATTACAAAATACACATCATCTCTACAGGGCCTCTGTGGACCCTCCAACCTTGATTCAGGACCTATTACTTTCCACATCAAACACATAATCTTGGATTGCACCTCGGCAACAACAATAAAAGCAGTGGATAAAAATGGGCAAAGGAATAATACCAATAATAACGGTGGCTAACTTATATTGAGCCTTCAGGGGAGACATATAACATGTAATTAAAACAAATTCATTAAAATATATAATTTAAAGTGTAATATAAAGCTATACATCTCAGTTAGAGAAGGAGTGATATAGCATTATAGCATCATTTTGCTGAAATACAGGGAAAGGAGAGATGTTATACTCAGTTGACAACATGGAGCCCAGCTCACTCACCTGCATTTCTGCCTAATGAGCACATGCCACTTTCTTCCCACCGGAAGCATGAATGAAGCCTAACAATTAACTGACAATTTAGCTAGCTTCCAGATAACAAACTAGAATTCTTTCACTAAGAAATAAAAGGGCCCAGGGATATATACCCTTGTGTTGCTGCAAACTGATTTTCCAGGGTTTCTATAAATTAATTAGTCATTTCAGAATCTCATCAGAAGAATATACATGTAACTTTTTTTTTTTCAAGTCCACCCATTAAACTGGTTCAGGCCTTTGGAACGACTGCACACACACTGATAGAATGGTTTAACTCTTTCTAAGAAAAAAGCACTTTTCCTTTATTATTCAGGGATGGTTCCTTGATCTCAAAGCTGGCAGGGAGAGACACAGAATTCATGCTCATGCACTTGAAAAGGACAATGTTTCCTGCTATCTTACTGCTGCAACTTACAGATAAGATGGGAGGTTAGTCTGTATTTCTTTAATCATTTCTTTTCTTCAAATCTATTTCCTAGCACAGAGTCAGTTAGTATGACTGAAAGCCTTCATCTATAAAATCCTATTTTGGATTTCTTTAAATTTTTTTCTATTTGATGAGCTGTTAAAGGAGATTGGTTTCTTATCTCATCTTTATTGCATAGCAAGTTGGTATCAGTTTTTGCACAAAGAAGATACTGCAAATTGGCTCACTCAACCTCAATTCCACCCTTTTTCTAGCTTCCTGCTAAAGCTTGACTGCTTTAAAAAAAAAAAACTGCCCCTCTTGGATTCTCTGCAACTAGTGTTCTGGATGCAAATTAATCTTGCCCATTAGATGCACTTGAAGAAGGTCTGGAGGGAGGAGGTGAGTTGAAACAACTTCCTGGGGCCCCTTTCTGCTAATGGCGGTGGCCACTGGGTTCTTCTAATCTCTAAACCACAATTATGGCAGTAACTTCTTGTTCTAAGTAATTTCAGGGGCCACCTCATGACTCCGACTCCACCATTCACCTGATGATTTCTAGGGCTCCCTAGAAATAAAGATTTCCTTTCTTTCCCCCTAACTTGCTACACAGAGGCTCTGTGCTGTGCTAAGTTGCTTCAGTTGTGTCTGACTCTGCAGCCCCACAGACTGTAGCTCACCAGGCCCCTCCGTCCATGGGATTTTCCAGGCAACAATACTGGTGTGGGTTGTCATGCCCTCTTCCAGGGGATCTTCCCAGCCCAGGGAGCAAACCCATATCTCCCATGTCTTCTGCACTGCAGGCAGATTCTTTACCATGAAGCAACCGGGAAAGTTCATTGCTACATAGATCTATTTTAATAAAACATCTGATTTCAGTGCTTGGAAAACCACAGGGAAAAACACTAAGGGAGCAACGCCTGATTTAGACCACTTCAAAAGTGGTCAGATACTCTCTCTCCATCACCACCACTCCTCCACTTCAGAGCAGTAATCTAACCACAGGGTTAAGACTCACAAGCCCTAAGAAGCAACCTCTGACCATATGGTCCCCACTCCCCAAGAGCAATACCAGCCTTAAGAAAACATACCAGTATTGCAAATCTTCAAGATCATTCCACAGCCAACCTCAAAACACTAGAATTCCACAACTCCCTGACCTCGCCTCCTTCTCTACTTGCCTCCTCCAGTCTCATGTGACTCAAATCAGAAGCTCTAGGAAATCTGTTATTCTATACTATCCTACTGCTGCCCCTGTATCACCATTTGACTTCTCCCCACCTACTCCCCCCCAACACACAACATGACAGTTATAAAGGGAAGAATTTATAATTAAGAAGAGAATACGAACTTCTCTGGTAGTCCAGTGGTTAAGAATCCGCCTGCTAAGGCAGGGGACACAAGTTTGATCCCTGGTCCGGGAAGATGCCACAGGGCCAACTAAGCCTGTGAGCCACAATGACTGAAGCCTGCATGCCTAGAGCTGGTGATGAGCAACGAGAGAAAGCAACAAAAAAACAGCACAGTCATAAGTAAATAAATAATTTTTTTTAGAAGAAAGAAGATGAAAAGAAGTAGCTCTGATTAGTAAGAAAAGGTCAATGACCCCTTTCCTATGATATCAAGACATATAAGAAACTATAGTGAAAGGCAGCAAACTCTTTACTAACCTGGGGGAAGAGAGAATAAGTTGAATTGTCAATGGTGAATGAGTATAAAAACTCCCCATCGTACCACAGGCTTTTCCCCATGGGGGAATTCATTTTAGTCATAGCAAAGAGATGGGCGGGGTCACAGCAGTCTTCCATCTGTTTCCTAGGAGAGAAAACAGAGAGAGAAAAGAACAGCAGGTTAAGTGAGCAGCAGACTCATTCACTTGTCATTCCCACAGAGATGTGCAGCCTTACCTCAGCACCAGCTCACAAAAGCATCTGTGTCTCCAGGGTGATTAGACAACTATTCATTCACCCTTCCAGCCATCAGAATGCATGACGGAATATTTCATAATGTTTTAAAAAGTTTCAGAAGAAAAGACATCAGGTGGTAGGATTGCAAACTGGTGCAACCACTATGGAAAACAGTATGGAGATGCCTGAGAAAATTCAGACTAGAACTACCATGTGACCCAGCTATTCCACTTCTGGGTATTTATCACATGTGCACAAAAACACTAATTTGAAAAGAAGATATATGCACTCCCTATGCTCACTACAGCATTAAAGTTGTCCCTTGGTATCTGCAGGGAACTGGTTCCAAGATCTGCCTCAGATACTAAAACCCACAGATGCTCAAGTCCCACAGTCAGCCCTCCATATCTGAAGTTCTGCATCGATGGATTCAACCAACCTCACATTGTGTGGTACTATATGTATTTATTGGGGGAAAAAAAACCATGTAGAAGTGAACCCTATGGCAGTTCAAACCCACATTGTTCAAGGGTCAGCTGAATTAACAATCACGTAATCATGTGCGTGCTCAGTCGTGTCCAATTCTTTGCGAGTCCGCGGACTGAAGGACAGTAGCCCACCAGGTTCCCCTGTCCATGGGATTTCCCAGCCAAGAATATTGGAGTGGGTTGCCATTTCCTTCTCCAGTATTTACAATAGCCAAGATATAAAAACAACCTACACGTCCATCGATGGACGAATGGAATAAGAAGATGTGCTACACCACAGAATACTACTCAGTCATGAAAAAGAAGGAAATCCTGCCATCTGCAACAACACTGATGATCCTTGAAGATATTGTGCTTAGTGGCATAAGTCAGACAGAGAAAGACTGATTTAATTCACAGGTGGAATCTACAAGTGAACGAAAAACCAAAATAATACAAAAACAAACTCAGAGTTACAGAGATCAGATTAGTGGTTACCAGAAGGGAAAGAGGCTGGGGGATGGGTGAAATGAGTGAAGGGGGTCACCTCTCTTCTTCACCTCTGGTGATGGATGGTAACTGGATTTGTGGGGGTGATCAATTTGTAGTGTATACAGATGTCAAATTATAAGGCCGTACACCTGAAACTGATATAACTAAACAGAAACAAAGGAAAATATCAGCTCTCATATGCAGCTGAAATGTGTCTGAAAGCAAAATTAATCATTGTAATTGCAGACTGATGGATTTAAATATCCAAGGCTTGGATGGCTAACATCTCTTCATGGTGATGTAACCATCAAGAGGTGACTTTCAGAGATCAGGGACTTTAGGAGAGCTGTGCAGAGTAGGACATACACAGATTGGCCCTAAAAAGGAACACCCCCCATATCTGAGGATGCGATCCGAGAATGAGCCCTGGGAAGTCTCTGGGAATAGAAATTGAATGAGATGAGGGATGCGATTTCAGGCACTGACAAAGCAACCTGCATTCCAACTGGTAAATCTCGTGAGCTTTACCGGTTGTTCTTGTTTGGTCTGATCTCTCAGTAGGGTGGGACACAGCTGAGCAGAGGAAGGAGCTGAGAAGTCTCACTCCTTCCTCACTCCCTTTATCTCTGAAACACCAGGGTCTCTTGGGTCTCCCCCACAAACCCCCCTGGGATGGCTCACAGCTGTTCCTCTGCTGGTCCCTCACAGGGAGGCCACTATTCTACAAGCCAGTCTTCACATTCTCCTCAAATTCAAAGCCTGTCAGAAACCAACTCTGTTTCCTCACTGAGCTTTCAGGAATGAAAGAGCTTATTCCCCAGTCCCACTTCTAGAAGGACCAATAAAACAAACTGCTTACATAAACCACTTCTGAATGGCGCCGCCAAGTAGACTTGCCAGCTCAGATATCTTTAGCCACCAGGAGTACCCAAGCTTGGAGCTGAAAAGTGGCAGGTAATTGGAATATAGTCATGCTTGGTCTCACAGGGTTGGTTCCATAACCCCCCTCCACTTAAATACCAGACCCCAAGGATGCTCAAGTCCCTTACATAAAACAGCAGTGTTTGCAGATAACCTACACACTTCTTGCCCTGTACCCTAAATCATCTCTAGATTACTTATCATACCTAATTCAACACAAGCATTATGTAAATAATTATAAAGACGATGTAAATGCCATTAAATAATGACCAGTGTGCAGCAAATTAAAATTTGCTTTTTAGATCTTTTGGCATTTTTAATTTTTCCAAATACTTTCTATCCACCCATCAGCTGAATCCTTGGATGCAAAATCTGAGGATGAGGATTTACAGGCAACTGTACTTGGGTTCAAAACCTGGTTCTGCAACTTACTAACTCTATAACCAGGAAGGTTACTGGGCTTCAGAAATGGTCTCAGAAAGTATTCTTGGGAATTCCCCCAAGGACATACAGGTGCAGCATGTAGTCCAAGTTCAAGCTCAACGCAGAGACAAAAAACCGAATCACAGCCTGGGGTTCTTCCCGCCACCTGATGCCTTCTCTGGTGCTTTTTGGTTGGCACCTGGGGAACTTCACAAAGGTTTCAGCAGAAAGGACAGGGTTGGGGTCTGGGGAAGCTGGCCTTCTTCTTTTGCATTTGCTAGCATCTGTGTCCCTCTTACTCCTACATCATCATCCCATTTTCCCCCAAGTGCCCCTCCTCTCTTGCCTCCTCCACAATCAATAATTCTTACTTGTGTTTCATTACCCAAAAGGCAGCCTGAACAGAGGCAAGGAAATTTTACAGTGAATTGCCTTCATTTTCTCAAAAGAGCATCCTGGGTACTATCATCAGTTAACATAGAACGAGACACGGCTTAAGACTGTCTTTAAAAATGAGAATGAAAAAAAAAAAAATGAGAATGGCGGACTTCCCTGGGGGTCCAGCAGTTGGGAGTCCACCTGCCAATGTGAGGGACACGGGTTCAATCCCTGGTCTGGGAACTAAGATCCCACATGCCTCGGGGAAAGTGAGCCTGTGCCCTGCAGCCGGAGAAGCCAATGCAGTGAGAAGCCCACGCACCGTAACTACAGTAGCCTCCCACTCACCGAAGAGGGGCAACTAGAGAAAGCCCTTACGCAGCAACGAGACCCAGCACAGTCAGTGATGAAACAAAATAACAAATAAAAATCAGGAGAATTATCTTAGGCATGACTCTGAGCTTTGTGAGGTGAGGACAATTTTTGAGCCCTTAATCCTCTTCTGGTTAAATGGAAATAACCAGAAATGGAATACCTTTCAGTTCTTAGAGTGGTCCTAGGAGATAATTAAGGGAAGACATGGGCTTTCCTGGTGTCTCAGAAGGTAAAGATTCTGCCTGCAGTGCAGGAGACCTGGGTTCAATCCCTGGGTCAGGAAGATGCCCTGGAGAAGGAAATGGCAATCCACTCCAGTATTCCTGCCTGGAGAATTCCATGGACAGAGGAGCCTGGCAGGCTGAAGTCCATGCGGTCTCAAAGAGTCAGACACGACTGAGCGACCAGCACTATTATTAGTCCCAATTCACATCTGAGGAAATGTATTAGGGCGACTGAGGGACATGCTCTTTCCTCTCTGCAAGGCTGCCTACTCAGGACCATTCTGACTCACCCTTACCTTTCTCTTCCCTAAAGAAATGCTTTCTAAACACCAGCCAAACATGCCAGTGCCTTCCTAGATCTTTCTCTACTTAACTCTCACAGTGAGTGACCTTGGAGTTACATAGCCTTAGGATTTTTTTTTTTCAGTAATTTAACTTGGGGCACATAACTAGCGAAGCAGGGTGGAGCTTGGCTTGGCTCCCAGGTCTTTTCACTTCATGTCTGGTACTTACTTTAAGCCAGACCATAGCTCTCGCCTCCAAACCAAGCTAAACTTGCCATTCATCACAAAGTACTACAGAAAATTCAGAAGAAAAATTTGTCCCAGCTACATAATAAGACCCCATTTAATCTTTATCAGTGTAGAGTGATATGTAAGTGTCCTAGACTTACATATCACTTTATACTGGCTTCCTCTTTTCATCCTCATAAAAAACTAAGACAGAGCTGATTACATTATCCTACATTTACAGATGATGAAACTGAAGCTCAGTCCAAGAAATGTTTGCTTAATTAGCAATCAAATTGTCTGTTTAGACGGACTCAAATCCACACCTTTTCCTACAGCATCATCATGCTCAGGGCAACTATACCTTGAGGAGGGAAACCAAACACTTGACAAAAATAGAAAGCATCACATGCATACAAATACTTTTAAAAATTCAAGAAAGAATCATGAATTCAAATTCATAATAATCATAGCACCATTTGCAGTATGAGAGGGCTTCTCTTATAAACTTATGAACTTTTCCCTCTATCCTGCATCCAGAGTGCCTCTGCATCTTCCATCTGTCAGGCCCATTGTCCAGAAGGTGGCTGAAAACAGACTACAATGTAGAAGTGTGTTCACCCCCCCCCCCAAGCCTGAGAAGGGTCCCACAAGCTCACCAGCTATGCGGCTATATAACCACAGAAGCAAAAGCAGAAGTGGAAATAGTTCTCCCAGCAGTAGGAGTGGGAATCAGGGTAGTGGTAGCAATGATTTTTACTGAGCTCTTGCTTAACACTGCTAGGTTTGGGGGAAAAGAAAGTTGAGCTCCACCTCCTGCCAACCTGCAGGTGATCCTGGAGAGAAGACACACACCAGCTTTTAGAATGTTTAGCAATTTTTATTCCCGCCCCCTTTTTCATGCTTGGCACTGATGTTGCCTATTCTCTGCTTCTCTTTTGCCTGCGAGCAAAGTTGCTTCAGTCGTGTTCAACTCTTTGTGACCCTCTGGACTATAGCCCACTAGGTTCCTCTGTCCATGGGATTCTCCAGGCAAGAAACCTGGAGTGAGCTGCCATGCCCTCCAGGGAATCTTCACAACCCAGGGACCAAACCTATGTCTCTTATGTCTCCTGCATT